AATTAATTTCTTACCCATTGGGATTTTTTCAACGAAGAAGCACGCGGCAATGGCAACGTAGCAGAGACAGAGAACCACTCCTTTCATGTAATGTGAAGTTCCATCCTGAAAAAGGGTAAAAATTGCAAGGAATCCATTCAGATATTTAATCAAACATGTGGTGGGTGTTCAAGTTTCCAACACTATGTAAGTAAATTAGAGATGACACAGAAAAAGATGGAACCTGGAAAGTAAAGGCTACAAGGAGTATGGAGAGAGCGAGACAACCCGTTTCAAGGAGACTGAAATCAAGATCCATGTGGATTCTCATTGTCCAACCAACTACCACACATAAAGGTACCTGAAAATTTCAGTATGGATAAATTGAGATTTCTTTCTTATTGGCTTTTCCTGGCTTATGTTTTTTGGACTTTGAACCTCGCGAATACCTGTCTTCTATCAAATGGGGATCAAAGAACTGCCAGTTCGTGAACTAGATTTTGGCAACTCTACAGGTTTCGAGCCGATCCCGACAGAAACCTCCTGCTGCTCTGGTAACTACGCTCGCATACTTGTGTCTAAACTCTCCGAGTCTGGCAAGACTACATTCTCGGAAGACCGCCATGATGATGCCTCATCAAAGACTCGCTCTGGGGACGTCTACTATGGTGAAGCCTTAGCCCAAGTAAACCAATATGCCCCGTCCAATATTCCTTGCTTTAGACCGCCCTAACCTTTGACAGGAAAGACTTCTTTCAGAGGGATATTCCCATCGGAGTTCCAGCTCTTTCAGTTCCTTTCTTTTCGATTATAAGACACAGATTATTAATGTTTTCTGTATTAAAAATTTTCTTGTGTTTTATTGAATCTTACAGCAAACATGGAGATTTGAGTGGCAGAGCCCAGTGCAACACCCAGAGATATGTCCTGAATCATATGCATCAACATTAAGTTACAGGTACATGAAATATACAACCCAATAAACTTGAGAGACTTTCATTGGTTCAGTGATTAAATGACAAACTAAGATAGCTGGGTTCCGTGCGAACCCCGCGAGCTGGGTTCCTCGCGAACCCAGGCTCTTGGGTTCGCCTGGAAGTAAAAGAAAAAAAAGAAAAAAAGAAAAAAAAGGCTAGAGGAAGGAGAAGCCGGGGTAGAAAATGAGGGTATATCAATAATTAAAAGTAAAAAATTTAATATGTCATTAATTTTTGTCACGTGGATTTTTTTACGTAATTTCGTAAAAAAAAAAAATAGGTATTTCCATTAATTAACCTGCCACATCAGCTAAAATTTAACGGAAAAACTAAAAAAAGATCAGATTTGTGAACAATAAGGACCAAAAAAGAGATTTTTTCAATATAATGATCAAAAAAAAATTTTTTTCTATAGTAGAGAGACCAAAAAGGGTATTTAACCTTCACTTATTATTGGGTGACTTTTAACTCAAAAGATTGGCAACACGTTTAAGATCCTTATTTTCCTTCAATCAGCTTTTTCAACAGTTTTTAAGGTTTGGTTAATGACAATTTAACAGCATCCAAAAGAAATGGCAATTTAACCATTATACTAAATGTAAATTGATATTAAGAGTATTATGAATTCTCTAAAAAAATGGTAATACACATAATAAATTTAATTATATTATTTTTATTAATATAAAACTGAATTAAGTTTTCACTTAATCGAAATAGAAAATCTAATGGGTACACTACGCAAAAATTTTTCCAGAAATTGGCGGAAGAAACAATTATAATGTTACAGTTATGGGTGTGGAAACCAAATATCAAATTCCTTAATTTCATACAAGTGATACAAAACTTGTTAAAGGTCATAGTTGAGAACTTTAATGGGGTGTCCTTTTCTTTGTGGCCGGCTTCAGTGGGGTGTCTAGTATGTCTACATCTTTTAATTTATTCTTAGATCGAACTCTAAATCACATTTCAAATTTATTGAATGGTAACAAGCGATGTAAATTGCACAACTTTGCAAACTTCTTCAAATTTATCTATTTCCTAAATCTCTCATCCCCCTTCCCAAGTCCCACGCACTGCAGCAACAGGT